CCTTGTGGAAAGACTCCAACAGTCTCCCCGGTCCCATTGAGTTATTTTCCCCTCTCCTTTTTTTGAAATGCAGACAAATGCTGGGGGTGAACTTCAACAATGTTGTCGGTTTGCAAACAAAGTATTGAATAACATCACGTACCTGTACCAACAAGTCCTACCCCTTGTCTTATATGGGAAGGGGATGTACAAAGACTAGATCCTACCTTTTGATTGTTCAGTCTTGGGCATTTAGGTGATGTTTGACAGAAGAAGAAGATCAAGGAGAGTTCAGGATTTGGATTTTCAAAGTAAAGCGACAAATCATGGTTTCAATGTCTTATTGCCTTGACTTGACTTTATAAGCACAATCTTGGGCTGCCATCCAACACAATAAAAATATATCATCAAATACCAAGCTGAATGTAATTAACTGTGCTTGGAATGGAATACTAACTTGCCACTTACTGAATACTTAGTATACATTGTATAATGCATACTATTTTAATAAAATAGTATTTGAAACAGTATGCATTATGCAACAACAACATTTCTAAACAGTAGTATGATACATTATCACATTACTTTACATTATACATACTGTATACTGCTGAAACGATAAGAGTATTATGTTAGTGTGCTTTCTGAACTCAAGCTTGAGAGTCCTTGTGGGACGTTTCCCGTGTGTCTGCAAAGAAGAGTTTCCCCAAACAATTCACACACAGAATCCTACACTACATTGTAATTTCTAGAGGGCTTAACATTGTTTAGAAATGCCATTAATTTTACTTTAAACTAGCAATAGACACCACTGGGTTTGGTGCTGACATCGAAGCTCAAACAGTATGTGCGGTCACTTTGAAGACATAACACTGAGGCCAGATTCACCCTTGACCCATATAAGCCACTTCGTCTGAACTTAAACATCCTCCATGGTTCAGGAAAAAACATTCATCTTCAATTTACCTTTTGCAATCCATTTTACTTCCACAATGTGACGTATTTGAAAGTGGAAAAAAAAAAAAAGATATTGTGGGACTTTTTATCTACTGGTCACTGACTGGAGTGAACCATTCCCTGATAAACCACTGCTCGCTGCCATTAATGTTTTAGGAGGGGCCATATACTTTAAATTATGCAAGAAAAATCTGTTACACAACTTCTGTTATGAAGTTTGGAAAATTTGGTGTGGTTAAAAGCAATCTGATGTAGCACTGCTCTTAATCGTGTCATATTTCGACTCTGTCCCACTTGCAGGAGATGAGGCAATGTGAACTTAGCTTTGTGATGGCATGCCTCAAGAATTCCTGTCCTAGATTTGGTTCCTGCACCCTGTGGCAGTGCTACTCTTTCCATGGATAATAAAAAAGATTTATTTTGTCTCCATGAAATCTACCATGATCCTACATTGCTCATGATTTAATAGATATTCCTAAGGGATAGGGTGGGATCCATCACTAACAGAATGAATTACTTTGCAATATTAAAACCACATGAACACCAGGGTGTTGTTTCATTTAATAACATTTAACCCAGCTGTGTCTTTTTGCCTTGCACCTGCTATTAAAATGTATTGTTGACTTAACAATCTTGACATTGCTGCCAAACCTCAAAATAAAACACCTATGTCCCTAAGCATTTCAGTGAGTGAGCAACCAACAACAGATAAAGTGAAATAATTTGATAAGTCAGACAAAAAAAATGTGAAAAACACATAAATCTGGCTGTTATTGTCCAAGCATGTTGCTTTGCACTAGGATTCAGTTTCCTTGGCATCTTGAAAAGTTGTCACATCATTGCACTTGCCATTATGTGTAACCATGTAATTTGTTTTTCAAAGATGAGCTGCTTCCATTTACAAAAAAGTCAATGGCATTCAGTACTAGTGTAAATTTCTAACCCAAAACATCCTGATGTGTCCCCTACCTTTATCTTGGCAGGTCCAAACATGAGGGTCCACAGAAGCTCTGCTGGGCTGCACTGAGGATGCTTGCGTTGACTGGGACACACTACTCTGTCTCTCTGAGAGTGTTATAGCCTGTCAGCGTTTTTAAGGCATCTCCCTCCTGCACTCCCAAACTCAGCATGCCATGAGGAGCCAGGGAAAAAAGTGCAGGAAAGGAGGAGAACAGAGGGAGGAGCATGGATGCATCTAAGAGGGTGGGGTGAAATGAAAACATCAAAAAGGACAAAGTCAAAAGAAAAGAAACCTTCTAAAAAATGGGCCAGATTGGACCAAGTGGATAGAGGAAAGTGCACAAGATTGTGGAAAGAATAGAAGAAAGAGAGAAAAGAGTAGTGCCAGTTAAAAGTAAGGCATTGTGTTCCACCTTGTTCCCAGACTTTTCAGACAAATGTTAAGTTGCTGCTGACAGTTCCAGAGAACCAGATTAGCATTTTAATAACACAATCATTTCAGATAAGATTATAGGACTGTAAAAATAGTAAACCTTAGAAGCATTGTAGGCCTACTATATTGACAGCAAACTGAAATACATTGAAGATTATATTTAATATAAAAATTTTTTAACCAAGAATCAAGTCTAGAATGCCTGTATCACCAGTTAAAGTTGAACTATAAGTGGTTATACACTGTAGGTCAGTATTTACTACATACTGTATAAAAAATAAAAAATGTGTGAATGCAAAGATTACATAATTTCAATATAGGATAATTTGGCTAAATTTTGGTTTAAAAAATTTTGGTCAACTAAAAATTGGCCTTTTTGTGGCTAAAGAGAGCCGTTAGCTTTACCATTGGTTCAAGGCATTCAGTTATACAGGAAAACACAAAATCCTCAATCATATTCTGACCATCTCTGTAATTTGGCCAGATTGGCTGTTTTGCCATTGTGCTGTGAAGGGAAAACATTTGTGTGTGTGTGTGTGTGTGTGTGTGTGTGTGTGTGTGTGTGCGCGCGCCTTATCTAATGTCAATTTTATTTGTTAAAACTATTTAATTTTTTTTAAGTTTTGCAGAAACATTCATATGTAGGTACAATTTTAATTTGTCTAAAAATATGTCTAATTTTAAGTTTTAAAGCCCCAACCTTTGGACCTTTAGAAAAGTTTTTCAACATTAAGGGACACATTTGTCAGCATTAGTATTTGTCTAACTTTTAACTGGTTGTGTATAATTTTTAATGTTGGTTTAAAAAAAAGGAGTAGGTGTCAATGTTATTTATCAACTACCTTTATACTGAGCAACTTTCAGTCAAGGAAAAAAGGATGCTGTTCAAACGTTGTTGGTAATCAGATCCAGACTCTTGCTTCCCATGTTTATAATCTCTGCAAAGTGCTTTTCCTCACAGTCACCTGATTCATCATGACATGAGGTGTGTGGTTACTGTTACTAAGAAAAGACCTGATGTTTAAGTTCATGAACATGCTAAATGGTGCAATGGTAAACACGACTGAGGAAATAGCTGACTTCCAAATTGTATATGAAACAGTCTAAGCAAATGGGGTCTGTAAGTACATGAACACATAAGACTTTGAACTTAAAGGTCATAATTTGGAGGATTTTTTTTTAGCACTGTGGATCTAGATATTGTCCTACATGTATTTTCATATTAAAACATCACACAGAGAAATATCAAGCTTGCAAAATATGTTTAAAAAAATGGCACAATACTGACCTGTGTTGCCGACAGTTTCTTTTTTCCCTGCTCCGTTTGTTTTCTGCTGTTCATATCAAAGACCACTAGATGTCCTCATTAACAAATAAATCTTATTGCAAACAAAAACATTTCTGTCCATGATCATTAAATAATGATCTGCAGAGTTGCTACTTTAAACAAGGCAAATATTAGATTGTTTTGACTTGTTTATTATTTCTGGTCACTAAATAATAACCATACACCCATTTACACGAATAATGTGTGAAATAGTAATAATAAAGTAAAAATATGGCTTTTATTACATTGGAAGTGTGATAAATGAATCTATATCGTGTTATTAATATTTTTATATTATAATGTTTAATATTTGTGTTATATTTGTTTTTAAATCTTGACGTAACTATTTGTAATTTATTTTAGGCAAGTAAACATAAGAGGTCACATTAATTTAAACTAGACTGTTAATCTAAAAAATAATTCTAAAATCACGCTTTCGGGTCTACAATATATATATATATATATATATATATATATATATATATATATATATTTTCCCCCTGAACGGGTCTTTGAGTTTACTCCGAGATGAGCATTGAAGAACACGTGCAAGACTGTTACGCAATCTGCTGGAAAACATTACAGCCATGTGACCATGTCCTGATTGGATCCTGTGTGACCAAGCGAAAGAACGTCCGCCAATCAGCGAGCGGCTGGGCGTGACCAGGACCCTGCAAACTCTTGAGAGGGTACAAGATGTTACTGTTCCACTACTGTCCCACTGCCTTGATTATTAGGAAGCATTGGCCTCACAGCGGCTCCCCCGGTCAATGGACAGTCAGCTGGACAGCCATAAGAGCAAAACAGATGGAGCACGTCTTACAGAGATGACGCATTGTCTTAAGATTTTAAGCCTAGTGTTTTTCCAAAGCATTTACGATTTGAAATTGTAGGTCTGTTGTTGGACCGAAGTATGCGAAGCCAAATGTCAGTTTTCTATTTTTTTATATTATGTTTCTTATTATTATTTCTATTTATAGTTATGTTACTAGTATTTTGTTTTATTATTCTTATTTGAAACCAGTAGTAAGTAATCGAATAGTGATTGGTATTTATAGAATATATAAATTTTGTGACATTAAAAATGTACGTTGAAAAATTGGAATACACACTAATAAATGGAAACTACTGTCTATCCAGTTAATACTGTATGCCAAATGCATAAATGTGAATTCGACAGAATAAATACTTGTTAGTTCATCTTTAAGGAACACACGTTAAAACTGCTGGTTAATGCACATCACTGAATTAAGATCTATCTGGGACGAACGTAAAGATGTCCATAATAAATTAATTGGTGTTCGAGACAGTTAATGAGACTGACCTAAAGAAACCCATCCAGCGTTTCTCCCACGTGACTGTGGCGAGCGAAGCGTTGCCAAGGGGAAGTGACGTCACGGCGCTACGTTCACCACAGGAGATGCGAGGCCTGTGACAAGCTTCTTGCGACGGTGGTCCGCTCTTAAAATCCACCTCCATCTTCCTTATCCTTAGGGAAAATGGTGACCAAACCGACAGGAGCATAATCTACAGACTCTAAACTTTCGCCTGATCACAATATTGTGACATTTCGGACTTTTATATATTAGAAAAGGAATGGTGAAAAGTGAAGTCCGTCGGAAGAATCCGAATTCTCCTCAGGGATTCGGGGGGGTTGGGGTCGCGTAAAGATATATAGGATCGTAGCAGTTAAATAACGCGTAAAAATATTAGCGTAAACCCAAATTTAAAGGCCGACAGAATCTGGTTTAATAGAAATTAGCTGAAATACAATCGAGTGACTCATTCGAGAGAAACCAATAAACAGCGATGGAGCTACGAGTTGGAAACCGATACAGACTGGGTAGAAAAATTGGAAGTGGATCATTTGGAGACATTTATCTGGGTAAGTATAAACTTAAACACACGTATACACTCTTGCCATAAAGCTGTCAATAATATAACACTGCTAACAAGCTGTATTGTTTCATATTTCTGTCAACTGTAACTGTCAGTGGCGTTTTGTCCAAAGATTGACTCGTTATAGTCTGCTTATGAGCTCCGTTTCTCAGTCCTTTGGGCATTTAGATGAAAACCCGTGTTTTATAACCATGACAAGAACGTATTTCAGACCACAAGTGGTTTATAGAAGTTGCAGAGTAGAAAGTTTACGTCCCGTTTCGAACAAGCTCATATAGTGGTTTAAACACTCCAGGATGTCATACGTGACCATAAAAATATGTGCTTTTGACATTAGATACAGATAGTGACATCAAATATAATACAACACTTGCTGTAAATTGAGGTGTCGTTTCACTGAACCTGTGAACATGAGTTTCCAAACAGGTCCTCCCTTGTGTATAACTCTGAATGAATCTTACCTGTCCGTACAGGTTTCACTGAAAGCGTGAACCACCCAAATGGCCAAGCCTGACATGTTGAATCCGCCTATGACGCCTGGCTGATGCTTTTGTTTGTTAAAAGTCAGGTCATACTATTAGGGCTCATGATTCATTCAGTCTCATTTTTCTGATCACAGGTTCATGGTGCATTTTGGGGAAACAATTTTGATTGATGATGCTGTTGTGAAGCAACACAGTCAGGAACCAGAGGAACTCTTTATTTTCATGATAGGTGGCCTTCATGGTTGAGAGCATCAGTATCACACCAGGATGTTATTGATCATTTGAGTATCTATGGTTGACATTTAGAGATTGCATTGATTACTGTAGAGAGCCATTGTTTTGTAATGCAATACAGAGCACCAAAGTAGGTCATTGTTTTTCTTTTATACTCTTAACAGGCGTAGTAGCAAGTTGAATACAGGCTTTTTAATTAGTTCAGACCATTACTACTATTAGTACTCTTAACCACCTTAGCATTTCATTTTCGACTCGAGCCTTTGGTTAAATGTGTAGCGCAAGATGTGACATTCATCTCTTATTCAGGAGGCATTAAAGGACATTTTGCTGCTGCTGGCCTTAATTCTTCTCGCTGTGGTCTCCTCATCAACAGGGTTCCTCTAACATGGATTGAAACTTGTCAACAAAATGTTTAACTTAATCAAAGCTCCTCCAAACATCAGGCTCAAATACGAACAGAGTCTGACCTGCCCACAAACACTTCCGCTAGTTAGTGTATTTACATTATGTTGAGAAGACGCTGTGTTCAAGGATACCACAGAAATACAATTCGAACCTTTTGTTGTGTGCATGTCATTTTACCAAGGACGGCTTCTCTAATCTTGGCTTTTATCTTCGTTGGCTTCTAATCTTCTTAATTTGGACT